TTTAACATCCATTTGATACAGTTTAAATTCATTGAAACATGCAAATGCTAATAACATTCTAATTGCTTCCATCCTAGTTACGGGAGCGTATGTTTCATCATAGTCTATGCCTTCTTCTTGAGTATACCCTTGAGCAACAAGTCTAGCCTTGTTTCTCACTATATTTCCACTTTCATCAAGCTTATTTCTAAATACCCATCTAGTACCTACAGTAGACTTATTACTAAGCCTTTCAACTAATGTTCATACTTTACTTCTCTCAAATTGATTTAACTCTTCTTGCATAACCATAATCCAATGTTCATCATTTAATGATTCTTTAATATTCTTAGGCTCTATGTATGAGACAAATGCAATATAATTACAAATATTTATAAGAGAAGATCGTGTTGTTACCCCTTTGGATGGATCACCTATTATTTCACCATCATTGACATACCTTGGGTAGGATACTTCCCTTTCTTCAATGGTTGAATTCTCGAGAGGATCTTGAGATTCCTCATCTTTCGTTTCTTCCTTTGATGATGGTTCTCCAACGTCATGTCCAACGTAATTTATGTTTATAATACCTACATCATCATTCACACAAGAATCCTTCCTCGGAAGGGGATTATCATCTAAAACAACATGTATAAACTCTTCTACAACTAAAGTTCTTTTATTAAATACTCGATAAGCTTTAGAATTTAAGCAATAACCCAGAAAAATTCCTTCAACACTTTTAGCATCAAATTTTCCAAGATTGTCTTTACAATTGTTTAAAACAAAACATTTACATCCAAAAGGATGAAAATAGCTAATGTTAGGCTTTTTATTTTTAAAAAGTTCATATGGAGTTTTCTTCAAAATAGGCCTAATCATTACTCGTTTAATAATATAACAAACGGTATTTGTGGCTTCCGCCCAAAAATATTTTGGCAAATTGTTTTCACAAAGCATGGTTCTAGCCATTTCTTCTAAAGTTCGATTTTTCCTCTCAACAACTCCTTTTGGTTGAGGGGTTCTAGGTGCTGAAAAATTATGGCTAACACCGTTAGAATTACAAAATTCAGTAAATCCAAGATTTTCAAATTCAGTTCCATGATCGCTCCTAACACTAGTTATAAAGTAACCTTTTTGTTTTGGATTACTTTTGAGAACGTGATGAATTTTTCTAATGATTCATCTTTAGTACTTAAGAATAGAACCCAAGTATATCTAGAATAGTCATCTACCAATACAAATGCATATTGTTTTCCACCCAAGCTAGTAGTTCTAGATGGCCCAAAAAGATCTAAATGGATCAATTGTAATACTCTACTAGTGGATACGTCATTAATGGATTTAAAAGAAACTCACTTTTGTTTTTCTTTAGCACAAGCATCACAAATTTTATCATTATCAAATTTTAGCTTTGGCAACCCTCTAACTAAGTCTCATTGAATTAGTCGTTGCAAAACACTCATATTAGCATGTCCTAGTCTCCTATGCCATAACCAACTATCATGCTCATCCTTAACAACTAGGCATAAATTAGTCATATCTATAGAATCTAAATGCACCATATATATGTTTCCTATTCTATGACCAACAAGCATAATCCGATTAGATGCAATGTCAATGACTTTACAACCATTAGTTTCAAACATGACATTGAATCTCTTATCGCACAATTGACTAATACTCAATAGATTATGCTTTAATACATTCACATATAAAACATTCTTAATTTGTATAGAAGAGATATTACCTATACCTTCAATGTGACCTTTTGAGTTATCACCAAAAGTCACATCTCCTCCATTTTTGGCATTAAGCTCTATGAACCGGCTCTTGTCTCCGGTCATGTGTCTTAAGCATCCACTATCAAGGTACCATGAGTTTGAATTTATTTCTCGTGCCTTGTAGCAATGCTCCTTTTCCTACAAACATAGATTAATTTTTTATTTTTGGTACCCAAATTCTTTTGGGTCCATATTCATTAGTTTCCAAAATCTTAGTCCCCTTAGGTATCCATTTGTGTAGGATATCCTTATCTTTAGTAGTAATGAGTTCTTTAGGAACCCATATAGTTCTAACGATTTTTACATTAGAGGTTCTTCGGGGACCTCTATGATTATAATTTTTAAAACTTTTTCTAACAAAGTTGGAGTTTGAACTTTCTCCATTTCCAAAACGTTTTGTTCCAACTTTATCAAAAGAAACTTTAAGATCATCAATTTTCGTTTGATGATCATCATGAACTTTTGAAAGTAAGTTATGCAAATCATTATTTTTCTTTTCAAAATCATCAATTTTGATTTGCAATTCTTTAATCTTACTTTCAAGCTCCTTGTTGGTTTTGGACATAAGACTGTTTTCATTTTTCAATTTTGAAATATCATTTTTGTATTTTAAAAATAGAGTCTTATAATCTGAAGCCAACCCATTATAATCCTCTAATAACTCATCATAAGATAAATCATCCAAATCGAATTAGTTAGAGGTTACCTGAGAGTTTTCCCCGATAGCGATCAAGCACAAGTTTGCTACTTCTTGTTCCTCTTCATCGGAGCCTTCTTCATCGCTCCATGTAGCTACATGAGCCTTGTGTTTCTTCTTTGATTGATCTTTTTTCTTTAATTGAGGGCAATTGTATTTGACATGCCCCGGCCTTTTGAATTCGTAGCAAATGATCGGGTTCTTCTCCTTTGGTTCAGTTTTGAAACCATCATTTCATTTGAATTTTCTTCCTTGGTTGGGCCTCATTAATCTTCTGAACCGTTTGGCAAATAATGTCATTTCCTCATCATCGTCATCGTCATCTTCATCCGAATCACTCTCATCTTTTGTGGATTTAAGAGCAACTCTAATGTTCTTCTTCTTCTCCTTCTCCTTTGGTGTCTCATCAATCTTATCGAGGTCTACCTCATCTTGAAGCATCATTTCATGAGTGAGGAGTGAACCGATTAGTTCTTCAAGGGTTAAGGACTTTAAGTTCCTAGCCTCGATGATTGCCGTCTTCTTTGATTGCCATGATTTTGGAAGTGAGTAAACCAACTTCCTCACAAGCTTTTCATTTGGAATGATCTCTCCATATGATTTGAGACCATTGACAATCGTGGAAAATCTATCCGTCATAGATTTGATGTCTTCATCCGGTTTCATCCTGAAATTTTCATAGCTATTAGTTAGAAGACTAATTTTAGATTCTTTTACCTTGTCGGTGCCTTCATGAGAGACTTGTAGTTTGTCCCATATTTCTTTGGCGGTTGTACAAGATGAAACTCTTCCATATTCATCTGGTCCAAGAGCACAAAAAATAATATGGATGGCTTTGGAGTTGAGCTGAAACATTTTTGTCTCTCCTTCACTCTATAATCTTGGGTGAGTTGAAGGTTTGATTTATCCATCTTCTATGACATTCCATGATCCCATGTCACTTTCTTGAATGAAGTACATCATTCTATTCTTTCAATAGGCATAGTTAGCTCCATTGAAGAAAGGAGGCTTGTCGACGGGCATTGAATCGAGAACGAAGTCGGAGTTTGAAGCGCCAGCCATTGATGACTTGAATATCGATGTAACTCTTCCCAAATCGATCGACGGAATAGGCCAAGGGGGGTGAATTGGCAATAAAAATTTTGGTGGAAGCTTTTGCAGAAAATTGAAAAATATTTGCACAGCGATTTAGAGTGGTTCGACTTTCTCAACCAAAGTCTACGTCCACTACCTTAGCTATCCACACTAAGGATTTTCCACAAATTCACTAATTTTTCTTTCTTTTGAGGACAAAGAGTAACCTTACAACTCCCTCAAGAATTATACCCCAAATTCTTGAGAACACTCTCTCCCAAAGAGAACAATACAAATTTTGCAAACTTACAAGAAAATCCTCACAAGGCAAGATGTTTGCACAATTCTAGAACAAAGAAAGAACACTCGAGAATAATACAATTGAGCACAATAAGTGTTCTTGAAAGCAAAAATGAATATTGAATGAAATAGGCTTGAAAATGCTCAAACATAAGGTTTAATGCTTTCTCTTTGATTCTCTCTTGATTCTTGTTGATTGTCGTTTCTTGTTTTTTATCAATGGCTCCAAAGTTTGTTTAAATACTCCTTTAATTGATTCTAAATGTTGGGGATGATTAGTTGAGTCAATAGAGCCGTTTAAGTGTAAAAACAATTCATAAAACTGCTTGGAGCGTGGGGGGAATCGATACCCCCTCATAGGGAATCAGTTCCTGCAGTGTAAAAATTTAAATATTTCGACCGTTATACAAGGGGGGAATCGGTACCCCCTGGGGGGAATCGGTTCCCTCTGAGCAATCTGTTATTTCTCGAAGCCAAACCATTCAGGGGGAATCGGTACGTCCTGGGAGGGAATCGGTTCCCTCTGGGCAATCTGCCCATTTTGGTTTGAGATTTATTAAGAAATGTTTTTTGGCTCGATTAAGGCTCCAAATACTTTGTAAAATTGTTTAAAAGATTAAAACATATTTTTTACACTTTAGTAAGGATTAAAATGAACTTTGAAAGACTTGGAGTAATTTGTTATATTTGAATAATTATATCGATCATACTTAGAAAATCTTTTGTAAAATCTTAAAATTCATTTAACTTAATTTGTTATATCGAAACATCAAAATGTTTTCAACACATTATTTAAGAAAATGAGTACTTTACATTAATAAATACAATCAAATTGTTTTCAAAACCGATCAGAGCGTATTCAATTCAAATCTTGTAATTACATGCCAACTAAATTCTATATAACAAAATACATTTATTCAATATGTTTCTGATCTGATCTTCGTAAGGAAGATGCTGACCTGTCTTGCTCCTCTTAGCGTATCTTCTCACTTTCCGAAAGTTACGTGTGAAACACTCATACGCTAAGTCAATGACTTAGTGAGACATATAAAACATATAATATTACTCTACTCATATCGATGCATAAACAATTAATAATATCATATCATATAAAAAACATATATCCTTTCATATAACCAATACACATATACATGTATCACTAACATGCTTATCAGTACATATAAGAAAGAGAGCATGCGGAGAAGCTAATGGAATATCAGGTTTTCTTTTAATGTCTATATAGTTTAGGTTGATTTCACCTTCATTTGGAAGCATCTGATACAATTTGTCAACTGTTTGATTAGAACAAACGAGGAGGAAGAGTAAAACTACACTCGATTCTGACGCCGCCATCAGAGTTTGAACATTATGAGAAGGGAGATGCACTATATGGTCAGTCATTGTTCCCTTGATTGCCATTTCTTAATTGATTCATGGTTGAAAGTATCTCATGCTTTCTGCTATTTCTTAATGAGTTCAGCTATGGAACTAGCATTGTCGTTGGAGAAGCTGACAAACGAGAAGCTTCTGAACCTTCACAATGTAATACTACTTGTTCCGAAACTTATAGCCGTAGGCGTAGATGAAGTGTTTGAATCCACAACTAATCAACTGGTCTTACTTCATTGATGAATAACAGGTGGCCGAGCAAAACAATGATGCTCAGATGGTGGATTTCGTCGAAAGCGAGTTTTTAACCAAGCAGGTGAGCTCAACCAAACCTTAGCTTTCATTCATATCCGAAACGAAAAAACATCATTAGAACGACCCTGGTTTCTAAGTATATGAAGTTTATAGGTGGAAGCCATTAAGAAGATATCGGAATATGTTTCTCAACTGAGGCGGGTTGGAAAAGGGCATGGTAAGCTTTGAAAACTACATGTTGCATCTTGTTATGTCATCAGAGCATTCCATTCATGAAATCATTGGATGATGTTTGAACTATTTTGTCATTTGCAATTGATTTGCAGGTGTGTGGCACTTTGATCAAATGCTCCTCAATGAGGGAGCGTGATGCTTGTATGGTCCACATCTAAACGCTCTATCTTTTGTTGTTTCAGAGATGTTCTACTATATGTAGGAGCAAATAAAGTGTGGTTGTAGGATATCATTGTAACTACTCCTTAGCTTTGGCATGTAAGAGAAAGTAAAATGCTTTGTTTTTGGTAAACTGTGTTACTTAATAAGTGGAGGAACAATGTTGAGTGATGCATACAAGGCTCATTTGAAACTTTGATGTTTTTAGAACCATTCTCATATTATGAGAACGTGAGTCAATATAAAAATAAAATGGCTAAGAGATCAATTGTAGGAAGGAAGAAAACAAAGTATAATATGATATGGAGGATTCGTGCAAGCAAAAGTTATTCACACGTGACAGCTATTTTGATTACGCATGTGGCAATGTAGTGGCCCAATATACCACAAAAGGTTGCTGAATTGGATAAACCACGAGCTCGTCACACCCCTGATGACGTGTTTCAACCATGTTCGACCACATAATGTCTTATCTGACGATCCAAAACGATCCCCACCATCTCCACAACTTTATATATCACTTTCACCGATAGGTGATAGAATTATCAAGGGATTACATAAAGTTTACAGGTTGAAGCCATTTAAAAAGATATCAGAACATGTTCCTCATATGTGGTTCGAAAAAGGACAAGGTAAGCTTTGAAAGCTACTTGTATAATCTTCATCTTTCGGTTTCCTATGTCATCTGCATTCCATTCATAAAATCATTGGATTCATGCTTCAATTACTTGTAATAACGTTGTATTATTTTACTAATCGAGTTAAAATATTTTAAATTAGTTTTATTTTAACATTTTTCAAGACAAATTATTCAAGTTTTTGTTTAAGTTTAATTATAAATATTATAATACTAATCGATTCTAATTTAAACAATTTTCTATAATCAATCAACTAATTACTAAAAATTTAAATTATTCAAATTAATCTAACTTTATTTTATAACTCAAATTTTGTAAAAAAAACACATTTTTAAATCAGATCAGGTTTATAAAATTATAAATCGAGTCAAGCTGACTCAAAAAATTCATTTTTTTCGACTTCTAGTCAACTACGTGATGCTACAATTTTTGTTGTTATAGTGCTTCAGAGATTTTCTACTATATATGGGCAACAAATATGTTGAATAAATTACTATTATAGGAGTCGATCTATACGTTATTGTAGCATCCTTTTAGCTTTGCCAAGTAAGATAACGGTACCTAAAGGAACAATGTTAACTCCAGAGCAACATAAATTGCAAGAAAAAAGTCCTCAAAATTTTACTCATAACAGAAAACAAGCAATCTATCAACTCCAGAACAAACTACAGCAGCAAAACATTTCTGGATATCGTATGCTAATGTTCAAGCAGCATTTTGTGCTGCAAGCCTCTTCCTAGCTTCCTCAATGATTGATAACTTGATACCCTTGCCCTTGGGAAGGGATAACCATGGCCTTGTTCCTTTTCCAATGGTGAAGACGTTGCCCAGACGAGTTGCAAACTCGTGCCCAGCAGCATCTTGAACATGGATAGTCTCGAAGCTACCCTTGTGCTTCTCTCTGTTCTTAATCACTCCAACACGGCCTCTGTTCCTTCCTCCAGTCACCATGACAACATTTCCAACATCAAACTTAATGAAATCAACAATTTTGTTGCTCTCGAGGTCCAGTTTGATGGTGTCATTAGCCTTTATAAGAGGATCCGGGTAGCGGATAGTACGCCCATCATATGTATTGAGGTATGGAATACCTTTCTGGCCAAATTGGACAGATCGAACCTTGCACAGCTTAAACTGCAGAACAGAAAAAACGAACAACATTTTTATACCTACAGGGTGAAGAAAGTAGAAATACTTGACTGCTATAAATCAAACCTTGGTTTCATCACCAGTGATGGCATGAAGACGGAAACGTCCTTTGGTGTCATAAAGGAGACGGAAGTCCTCATTTGTTTTAGGAATGGACACAACATCTGGAAGAAGGTGATCAAGTATGTTATACAAGACTTGAACAGAAAAATCTCAGAAAGGCAGAGAGACAGGAGGCATATCCTAAAGCTAATCTGGGAACAATCCAAGAGGGTAAGATCCCATGCCAATGAACATTGCCCATCTCATCATGTACATCCATAAATTAGAATAAAAGCATCAGTCAATGAGACTAGTGAAGACCAAGAACGGATGTTAGGATCCTGAAGACATGTACAGATCAGAGTAATCAAACCAAACACATTTCATTCATTTGAATACGTGTATCACATTACCAACTCCATCTATGAATATCGAGAAAGGAAACATACCCATGAAACCAGCAGGATAGGTCTTATCTGTGCGAACCTTCCCATCCACCATAACATGCCTCTGCATGAGAATAGAAATAACTTCTCTGTATGTGAGAGCATACTTCAATCTGTTTCGGAGAATGAGAATCAGTGGTAAGCATTCCCTGGATTTGTGTGGTCCAGATGATGGCTTTGGAGCCTGCATAACAGGATTATAAGAAAAAAAATCATTAAAGTGGAATAGTTGTATCGAGCAGGAAGAGATAAAAAAGATGAAACTGCAGTAAAATAGTATGGAAGTAAAAGGATCGAGGCAAAAAACCTACAAAGGCACCACCCAGTTTGTCAAGCATCCAATGCCTAGGGGCATTGAGCCTCTTCAAATGTTTCTTCAACCCTCTAGCCTGTACCACAAAGGAAAATAAAAAGTGTTAACGAAGCTCAAATGTTCTACTCTTTCAACGCAGAAAATTAAGGAACCTCTAAATCAACAAGGGCTAAACCGCACATTCACAGATAAGAAAGTTAAACTAAAATAATCAGATTTAAACAATCTAGCAATTTTTTAAAAAAAGCTACACAGTAAAACAAGAAGAGAGAATCAATCTATGATTACATTACAAAATATTGCCAATTTATATTAATTTTTATTTATGTGAAGCGCAGATACAAGATCTGATTATGAACAACGCAAATCATAGAAGAACGATGAAGCGAATTTTTCATAGACAAAGCAGGACTACATTTGTTCAGAACTTAAAAAAAGCCGAAGAATAATCAAATGGAAAAGATAAAAAGAGTGCATATGAAGCATAAATCATCAAAAAACCAAAGATTAGGGGAAAGAAGAAACTAACCATCCCGGTGAAATGCGGCTGATTTAGCTCAAAGGCTGGTTTCGATGGTAGACCGCTCTTGAAAGAAGATGGTGTGTGAGGCTAGCAGAAAACCCTTGAGGCATAATGCTTCACATTGTTTATATTGACGAAGATTGGGCTTTGTTCCTGGTTCGGCCTTTTCTGAATAAGCCTTTCAACAACGTGTGCTTCATTAAATTGTGTTTTTGACCCAAACATATTGGGGCTCCTCGATTCTGATACTCCAAAAAATGTTCAATTTTTTTTTTTCGTTTTTTTAATTTAAGTATAAACTACACAAATGGTCACTAAAGTTTGAATAATTTTTTCGTTTTCCCAACTAAAATTTTAAAAGTAAAAAATTAGTCACTAGTATAATCGATTTGTTATAAATCGATCCCTCGACGTTAACGTGTGATAGAATGTTGATGTGGCCTATAGCCTGTTGACCATTCTTACTCTAGAAAAAATGTTTTCTATTTAAATGATAACTCTTGTTTTATTTTTCCACCTTTCATTTTTTTGTTCTTCGTCCTCTTTTCATGTGATCAAGCCTTGCAAGAATTGAATTTTATCTCCTAGTTCTTCAGGAAAATCCTTTATTTCTCTTTGTTATTTTTTTAATCTCAAAACACCATTAGTTAAATACACACAAACAATAATTCCTATCTTTCTTACTTATTTATTCATGGATGGTAACAACAAATAGTAATTTCTCACGAAAATCTAAATCTTTGTTTTCTCATATTTCAAACATTCATTTTTCAGTCTTATTTTATTGTTTCCAATTTCAAGCCCTCAATCCTTTGCAACCACTTCTTTTCACTTTGTTCCTGCAAATCTTCATCCCCTCGCATTTGTAGATAATTATCATTACACTAACAATACAAAAATTACTAATAATCATTTTTCATCGACGTCACTGCAACAAGCAAGACACTTTTTTCTTCAGTCAAACCAAGCACGGTCGTATTCATATTTCTCACTGATTTATCAGTGTTAGGTAATGTAGTTGATGTGACATAGAGTCAGTTTGTGCAGTTAAGAGAATGGTTGGTATTGTTAGACTGTTAGCTTATGGTAGTTAGGGTTAAACCTTAGCTATATAAACACATCATGTGTACTTTTATATTTAAGCGTTTATGATAAAACTTTATTCATTTCTTTAAAATGTTGTTCGTATACTGAGTTACAATATGGTTTTCTCAACATGGTATATATCGCTAGTTTCCTAGTGATTTTCTTTCCATTGTTTTTGCTGCGAACTGATGGTGATGATGCAAAGAAGCTCAGATCTTGTTGGAGAGTCTAGAGGAGCGTGCCGAGGTACTTTCAAGAAACATTAAGATGTTTACGAATAAAAAGATCAATGTTGTTCTTGATGAAATGAATTTCTTGTTGTGGAAACAACAAGTCTTGTTCACTATGATAAGTCATCGTCTTGATCGATTACTTACGAGTGTCATGAAGCCTCCACCTAAAATTGTAGCCGATGAGACTGTTATTATGATTCATAATTAGGCTTACGAGGAGTTTGTGGCCTAGGAGAGCGCATTAGCGCCCTAGTTATTGTCCACGATTTGTGAATATCTTTTGTCATAGTTTGTTGGTGTTGAAACAACGTCTGTAGTGTATAGCATGTTGTTGTAGTTCTTTGCTAATAGTTCTAAGTTGTCTGTGTGAATGTACTAAATTTGATACGCAAATTGTGCTAGTAAACACATCGAACAAGTAATAGAGTGATGAGTGAATATCGTCTCCACAAGGATTAGAGGAAAATTCAAGTAAAGTTTAAGCATATAAATATAAACAATTGAATATAAAACAATATGAATAGTTGTTGAAAATTCTATAGAGGTAAAATAATAAATGTTATGGCTATGATCAGAACTGGTGCACAAGGTAAGACAATGGTCTGACATCACAAGTGTGAAACTCTGAATAAAACTAGACGGCTAGGTTTATCTTGGAATCTTATACCTTGCCCTTAATGAATATTAATGATTTCCAGTTAATATAATACTTGACAAAGTTTAAAAGTTGTTTATAAGTTATCTTTAGTAAGAAACTTGACAATGAAAATGTTAAGGCAATACCTCTCAGCGTGAACCCTAGCAAATTTTATCGATTAAGCTCTCCTCTTTTTAGTCGTTGAAACTCTATCATTATCTCTAAGGTGTGTTAGAGTTTTGCTACCTAGTTCCACTCCATTGTTCACGTAGATCTAAGCTTAACTCTCCAGATATCAAGCATCAAACATAGATAAAGGCTAACTCTCAAAAGCTCTTACAAATCTAAGTTATAAAACAGTGAACAAAACATGCATATAAACTATAAATGTTGTAACATTCATTAAAGCAAAAACATAGTCATCCAAATTAACCCAAGCCAACTTAAGTTAGTTCATGGCTGGGTGAAAAACATCCAATAACATTCGTTTAATACAAATAATTTCAAGATAAAGATGAAAGAAATAACAAGAAACAAAGGCAAAAGAAGACTCCCAATCCGAAAGATGTTGCCGACTGCCGTGAACCACCTCAAACATTACTGCTTCTCTCAATGGCTGACAAGCTTTATCCCCTTGAAGCTCTAGCAATGGAGGTCACCATGATAAAAAAGAGAAGAAGAAAGAGTGGTTGCCTCTAACTTTTCTCTTTCTTATCTCACACTTTCCATTCTACCATAAATGTGGTGTTCTTTTCTTTATACAGTGGGGGCTCCTATGGTTTTGTGCCCTAATTCTTAAGGGAATATACACTTCACATGCGGGGCATAGCTGACAAGGTGTCACATATGGGATGCTACCAATAAATATCTTCCTTGTTTGTCTTCTAGTGCGCCTAGAAATGATGTCCCTTTTGATGTAGCATAATTGTCCTCTCCAAGTAGTTCACCTTGAGTCACCTACACACCACCACATCAAAATAGACCCTTCTCAAGCAGCACCAATTTCACAATTTCATAAAATAATAACAACAAAATCCATCATATGCAAATGAATGAGCTATATGCAACTAAATGCAGCTAAATGGGCTTAAGAACACTCAACAACCTCAGTAAAAAGACATAAAATATACCCTTTTATAGGGTTAACACCCCCAAACTTAAGCTATTGATTGTCCTCAAGTAATGAGTAGTTATCAACAGGAGATATGTTATAGAAAAATTCAATCTAAGAACTTTTATAGTAATTAAATTTTAACCCTTAGAACATTGGCTTCAACATGTTAGACAGATTGAGAGATCAAGGGCTTTTCTCTAAAACAAGGTCTTTTACATGTATGTGCATAATTGTATCCCATCTATGCTTAATAAAGTTAGAAAAATTCTACGTAAGATCCCTATTCTTCCTTAGTATTCGTTCATCATTTGAGCACAAATTTACTCTCATTTCTTGTTTTAGAATATTTTTTTAAATCGGTACGAGGGAAGTCAACCTATCACAACTATCATCCCTCACTCTAGATGAATTGGAGCAAACATTCCATCCTTGAGCTAGTAGGTAGAGTTATCCCATGACTACTTTCATTCACTCGTATGTTATACTGCTATTTATTCAAGAAGGGTTTCTAGGTAATGCTATAGCAAAGAGGAGTGACCCTTTACAGTTATGCCGAAGCATTTATTCACATTTCATCAGCACAAGGGAGTTGAAGTCAAACCTTTCAAGTTATCATTTATGAATGAAGTTCAGTTGTTCCAATCATACTAAAGCATGCAAGAGTTCTTTCATAAAAAATTTCTAACATTCTTGAGAATATAAGGCATATAATCGTGTATAAAATTCAACATAAATAACCATGTCCTAAAGTTGGTTCTATCAATCTCAATAGTCATTTATATTCAGTGAATCACAACCATAAAAAAAGTCTCATCATCGGACATCATCAATTTATTCCAAAAACTGTCTTAAAATCAAACAAATACTATAACCGTGTGACAATAAAACAAGATTTTTGTTTTCTCCTCTTCAGGGACATATCTCGGAATCATTTGATTAGTACATTGTTTGAATAAGTACGGATTATCTTAATAGTAGAACCACACATCATGCTTATATTTCTTTGTACCTTGGTTGTTCAAATCAGGAGGTAAAATTCCACTAACAAGAAAATTCACAATATCAGCGTACCATGGAATTGCCGCAGAAAATAATATTTTCTCAACTAAGAATTCTTCTTTAAGTTATAAAGTTGCATCACATACATCCTCATTCTCTAACCTAGAAAGGTGGTCAGCTACCTGATTCTCAATTCTTTTCCTATCATTCACCTCTAAATTAAACTCTTCTCAAAGAAGTATCCACCTAATAAGTCTAGGATTAATATCCTTCTTAGTCATTATATACCTAATGGTTGAGTGATCGTATGAACAACAACCTTAGTACCTATCAAATATGACCTAAACTTATCAAAGGCAAATACCACGACAAGAAACTCTTTTTCAGTGGTTATTTAATTGATTTGTGCATCATTTAAAATGCGGCTAGCGTAATAAATAACATGAAAAATTTTCCCTTGTCGCAGGCCAAGCACTACTCCCACTATATAGTCACTCGCGTCACAGCTCTAAGGGTGTAGTCCAATCAGGGGTAACCACGATGGGTGTTATAATAGGTCTCTCATTGAGTTCCTTAAATGAGTTGTAGCAACTGTCATAAAAATGAAAGGTTGGTTTTGTTTCAATAGAAAATATAGGGGCTTGGATACCTTCAATAAATCTTTTATGAATCTTCTATTAAAGCTCGTATCTCTCAAAAAGTTTCGAATGCCTTTCGCAAAGGTTGGAGGTAACTTTTCAATCACTTCGACCTTTGCCTTTTCAACCTCTATCCATTTATTAAAGATTTTGTGGCCCAAAATCGTCCCTTCGGTCACCATAAAATGACATTTTTCCAATTGAGTACCAAGTTAGCTTATTCACACATTTTTAGCACTTTTGCTAGATTGTCCAAGCATAAATCGAAGTCATCTCTAGAGACAGAGAAGTCATCCATGAAAATCTATAAAAACTCCTCCATCATGTCTTAAAAGATTGCGAGCATACATTGTTGGAAAACATTAGGGGTGTTACATAGTCCAAAGGGCATTCTTCGAAATGCATAAGTGCCACAAGGATAAGTGAATGTTGTATTCTC